CCACCAATTAAATCCACCAATCAATTAAATGACAAGAAGTAGAATCGCTAATCAAACCATTCACTCTCTGGACTGACTTCTTTCAGTTGTACTCTTGAGATTCCCTTGAGACTTTTGAGAAAGATAGACCAACAATAAAATTCTGGAATAAAAAAATGTTGACAGTTAAAAAATAACGAAAACTAAACTAAATTTTATTAAAGATTACATTATTTTATTACTATAATTGATATTTTGTTGCTACTACAAAGCACAGTGTAAAAATTAATTTATATAGATTCGAGGTGATCCCAGAGAAAAGGAAATAGTCTGCTGACAATAATGGCATCCCCCCCCCTTTTTTTTAATTGACAAAATCATACCAAATATTGCCTGAGGTTCTATTTGATATGGTCCACATTTTCTTCTATGATCTTGAAAAATTACATTAGATAGAAAAATTCATGTTTATAAATATACACTAATTGTAAAGATGATTAACACTTTGAGTGCAACGTCAGTCATCTGTGGCTGACACTAGACTTTCCGTTTAGGCCACGTTAGCCATCTGTGGCTGACACTAGACTTTCTATTTAGGCCGCGTCGCCATCTGTGACTGACACTAGACTTTCTGTTTAGGCCGCATCAACCGCCGTTGGCTGACAGCGTGTAACATGATATATAACTATAAAATTTACACTATTTTAGGGAATTACAGAAGATTTATTTATAATTTGCTTAATTTTGATTCATTACAGGACTAATGGATTTCATTGAAACATGGTAAACTTAAAAACAGTTCTCCATTACAGCTACAGTCAAAAGTCATTAATCCGGACTCGTCGGGACTTCGGCGATTCCGGATTAACGACTTTTCTGGATTATAGATCATCAGTTTAAATCTGGTAAGATGGCATGCAGAAATTATAAAATTAAAAATATGAAACCGTAATTTATGAAATAAAGAACAATTATTATCTAAAGGGTATCAAAATTTACAAAAAAAAGCTTAATATTTATTTGTGTACTTTATTAAACATTTCTTTCAATGTAAGTTGTTTACGTTTCTTTGTTTTTTATGTTATAATACTTTCTCTTTAATTCTATAAACAGACATGATATCTTGTTCTGTTACAAAGTTCCACTGTTCAAGTCCAATAATTGCTCTGTCGAGAATACCGACTAATTTGTCAATCGAAAATTTTTCGTTTTCAATAACCTCTGTGTCACTTTCTTCGCTATCGGAAGCGAATTATAATGATGAGGAATTTGATTTAAATCATATCAAAGACAGAGTACATTGAGATGAAATACTACATTTAGTAAGGAATTATAAGGCAAATAAAATAAAAACATCTGCCCTGAAGATAAGGATAGTGCTGACAGATCAACTTCCAATTCGTTGCGCGCCGAGGCATTCTCCCCCCCCCCCCCAGCCGCAGAGCAGCGTGAAATTGATAAACAGATTTCGGAATGGTTAGATAAACACAGGATATGCTTTTATCCATTTTTTACAGCAATTCCACTGTTTGTTTAATGGACTTTGAAACATACTTTTGCTTTGTAGATCCTTTACATATTAGTAAATATATATCAGAAATTCTATTTGACATAATTGAAAGTTCAAGCTTACTTTTATAAAATTGCTCTAACAGTCTGCAGAAAATAATAAGCCAGATCCATTTCAAAGATTAAGGAACAATGCAATCTGCAACATTAACTGAATTAGATAATTTTTGCTTAGCTTATACCGTCCGTTATACATTAAACGCGCATTCGTAAACGTATTTTGCGCATGTGTAAACGCATATTCGCAGCCGTAAAGGTCATACACGCATGCGTCGCAGCTTTGATGTCCGGAATATAGATCATTTCGGATTATGGGTGTCCGAATTAACGACTTTTGACTGTATTACAAAATGTGACAGCTCTCTTGGTCTTTTTTTCTGGCCATTACTCCTGATCCTAAAATACCAGCACTTTTAAGCGGCGTACGTGGCCTGAATGGGATTGCATAAGAAATATGCGTGGTGCTCAGTGTGTTAAAGAGAAATTCACAGCTCTTGATTACAAGACGTTAGTAAAATAAGTAAATAAATAAAAATGTAATTTATTATTTTGCACAAATATTGCAGTAGTATTGTATGAAAAACGTAATATCTAATATACATAGCTATACTATGACGCAGTATTCAAAGAATCAAAATGAAACACGAAGGAACAGCTCCGAGGAAGCAAAAAGAGCAAATAATCAAGACCCCACAGGAGCCAGATTTGCAACTAGAGGAAGAGCAATGAAAAGAAAGACTCCGTTAGAATCAGATGCACAGATAGAGCAGGAACGATGAAAATTACAACTCTGAAGGATCCAGATCTGTGACTAGTGCCAGAGTGCTGACCAGCTGAAAATCTGATCTAATTCCTATAATCTACATACATTAAACAGATCCTCGCACTACCAGATAGGATAAAAAATACTATCCATTTGCAAATGGGGGGAGGGAGAGGGTCAGTTTCGCTGAGATGCATTGGTTTATTTAATATTTAGTTTTTTAAATATGAGATAAACACAAGCAAACCAAAAGCACACATATATATCTAACACACATAAAAAAAAAGTTAGAGACATTTCCAGTAAATAATACAGGAAAGAATGCTAGTGTTTACGAAATCAATTTTTTTGGCACACTTCCCAACGACAACTGTGAACTGTTAAAGAACTGCTGTTCCTTTCACCGGAGCACTGATCATTCATTCAGTATAGTGAATTGGTTCTGGAGAGGATCGTCCACTTCTGGCATGCACATCTTTAATAGTTCCATGCACATATGGCTCAACCATAAGAAGTGCTTTTTGGAGTCTCCTCTTATTCATCTTCATATTGCCTCAGCAATGGAATTTAATATGTAGGGTGTGATTAGATATATGTTCTGCTTGAATCTGGTATGCAGATATGGCCATTTGACCAATTAATGTTATGTAGGTAAGTTGAAAAATAAGTTTCCCCTGTCGACTGTGGTCAGAGTTCTGTATGAAAGTCAAAAAATAGAATGAGACATTAAAGATATGACATACCTTTATTTTTCCATATAGGTACCAAGTACATTGAGACATTTGTCATATCGCTTGATAAGCTTCAAAAAGCCCTCCAGGAAAAAATCAGGGCTTTGCATATGGAAGAAGTGTTGAATGGCTTGTTTCACTTCAGTATTGCTTCCAAAACGCCTTTCCCCGAGATTTTTCTTCAAATCCGGAAACAGATGGAAGTCGCTTGGTGCGAGATCAGGACTGTATGGCGGATGGTGTAGGCGCTCCCAACCAAGAGTTGCAATATGGTTTTGCGTTGCTGTCGCCGAATGTGGTCTGGCATTGTCATCCAACAGCAAAACGCCAGATGTGAGAAGGCCAGGTTGCTTTTTCTGAATCGCCTCTTTCAATTTCGACAGGGTGTCACAGTAGCGCGTAGCATTGATCCAAAAAGTCCAGCAACAAAACTCCTTGGTGTCCTAGAAAACTCTGAGGAGCACTTTACCTGCAGAGGGAGTTATCTTGAACTTCTTTCGGACAGGTGATGACGGATGTTTCCACTCCATAGATGCGTCCTTCGATGATTCTGGCGTGAAATGGTGGACCCACATTTCATCCCTCGTCACAATCCGAAACAGAAAGTCATTGCCATCTTCATGGTAACGCACGAGATGTTCCAGGCTGACCCCCATGCGTTGTTCCTTCTGTGTCGAGGTCAATTGTCAGGGCACCCATCGTGCTGACACTTTTCTGTATCGAAGAATGTCATGGATGATGTTTTAAGCTCGCTCATGTGAGATTCCAAGTTCTTCCGCTACTTCATCGATGGTGATACGCCGGTTCGCTCTAATCATGTCATCCACCTTCCTGACATTTGCATCTGTAGTGACTTGCGCGTTTTCCTGCTGTGTCGCCTTTCGCCCATAGCCGTTCAACGCTTCTTCCATATGCAAAGCCCTGATTTTTTCCTGCAGGGCTTTTTGAAGCTTATCAAGCGATATGACAAATGTCTCAATGTACTTGGTACCTATGTGGAAAAATAAAGGTATGTCATATCTTTAATGTCTCATTCTATTTTTTGACTTTCATACACAACTCTGACCACAGTTGACAGGGGAAACTTATTTTTCAACTTCCCCTCGTACATGACAGATATGTTAACACTTGTGATTATCACTTTCAGGAACACCCTAATACCCACTTTCCAATATGCAACCATGTATCACTTTCACTCTGACAGTTCTCAGATCTACAATAAATTGCTATTCGGCCTTGGCCAATGCATTTACCAATTTTTTCTTATTTGAGCATGTCTAGTCCATATTGGCACATTCACTGTCATTACAAAGACTGCAAACACTTGCATCATTACATCAGATGAACTCTGGCAACAAACTACATTTACCTGATGCCTGAACTACTGTAATCCAAAATGTCGTAAGTCTTTAACTCTCTGTGTTGCCTTATTCTTGGCTACCTTCAGCAGTAATCATAGCACATTCTGTTTGTTCAGTAAGCCTGAAATTTTAATGATTATCTATTTTAAGGAATCTGTGAAATAAATTTAGTTGTGTTGCCTTTTGTCCTTGTTGATGTTGCAGTTCTAATGCCCAGCAGTGTAGGAATTATTGCATTCGATTAAATAACGGAGCCCTTTAGAAGCATTTCATAATTTGTTTATTTATTGCCTATTATAATTATAAGAAAACTGTAACCTGTAACTGTATGAGAAAACTGTAAATACAGAAGTATTTATATCTGAGAGCATTTACTTATTTTTTTTTTTTTTTTTTTTTTTTTTTTTTTATTTTTAAACTGTATTCTGATATACTTGCACCAATTCAAATTTGATTTAAGTTCACTGAAATGAAATGAAATTTTTAATGAATTTTCACTGTTTTGATCTTAATTCTAGCTTATTAGAAAATTTTGTACAAGTGCTGTAACTATAAATATATCAGAAACTTCTCCTAAAAATTGCCTTTTATTTTCAGTGCATGCTTTCTATCATGAAGTTCTAACTGGATACAGCAAAGGTCTATTGCCTCATAAAGTATCACCTCTGCAATGAAAATATCTTCTGTTTTGATGGTTGTTATAAAATTAGTGAAGGTTATATAAGGTGACTGTATATAGATATTAAAGTATTTGCATCGTGTAAAGATTTGAAGGTTATTTTTATCATAGTACTTAAAAAAATACCTTATGTTTAAGGATGAAGTATGTAATTACTATGTTTGTTGGCTGTGTCAGTTGTTTTTAGTATTTGTTTAAAACATGTTAAAGCATTTGTTTAAAACATGTATATGCTTGTCTTTTATGTAATTTTTTCTTTACTGACACATGTGTTTAACTGTATGCAGAGTCCTGATTTAATTTCTTCTCAAAGGTTTATTTCCTTTGAGGTCTGTAAACATATCGGGTTCTGTGCATATTAGTGAAGCCTTTTGACATTTGTGATTCTGTCTTCCATCCCATCAATGTAAAAATTCAAGCTCTTAAAACTAAGATCAAAGCATAAATAGTAAATGATCACTTTTAAAATAAATATCCATAAATAATGCTAAAGATAATGCGTGGAAATAATGAACAGTGTGCCATGTTGCATGTTATAAAATTTTTTCATAAAATGTGCGTTTATAATTTATGATAAAGATTACCTTTTTGGTACTGTGCTGTTATCGGAATTGGATTCAGAAATGTATGAATGTATGCATGTGTGTATGCGTATATGTAAATATGTATACATGCACACACATTCATGCTTACATATATACATGCATACACGAACAGGTACATCTATTCATACATTTCTGAATCTAGTCCTGATAACAGAACAATACCAATTTTTCTACATTTTTCTAGTCTCTTATAAGCTTTCTTTAATAAAGTTTGGCTATTACTTATAAAGATTGATTTTTCTTCCCCCACTCTTAAACTATATGAAGTGTAATAAGGTTTTTTTTTCCTATTGAGTTTATTAGTTATTGAAACAAGTCCCAATTAAGCAATCTTACAACATTAATTTATTTATCCTATTCAAAATTTGATGAAAAAGCTGTTTTTTGACTATTTCATAAAATATCAATAAGCAGTTCTTTCTGAATATACAGATGTCCTTTTTGTATGGTTAAAAGTACTTTTCTGTATTTTACTCATTTTTCTGCACTTTATTACTTATTGCTAATATTTTTATAATTTTATTAAGGTCTTAATTTAAATTTTCACATTAAAAGTTTATATTCAACATCCTTTTTTAATTAATGTTCATAATTAATGTTCATTTGAATGTCATTTAGTGCCAAATTTTACTTTTAGCAAATATATGAGTCATTTCTCTCATAAATTATAATGCGTTTAGCTCAGTATTTTATGAGCTGTAATAAAGAGTAAAATAGGTAATAGATGTTACCTTCCATGCTATAACTTAGCATTTTGTTCAGTGCATTTCCTTTTTTGTGTGATATGAGTTTACATATTTATAATATTTTTAGTAAGATCTGATCGTTAAAATTAGTTTCTCTGGTTGGTTTCTATTTTGCTGAAATTGATTTCATACATGTGCAAAGTTTATTAAATGAATGAATTCATGGTACTCACTCGTCCCTCCGACAAAGTCACCAATCATTGGTGACTAATTTTTCACCATTGTAACAGGTGAAAAGCAGTAGCCATTTAAAAAAATGGCAGCATACATAAAACAGTAACGAGTCAATGAAATTGCATGAAACATCCATAATGAAACAGTAAAAATTACACAAAACTAATGTTCATAATGAAACCCTTATAAGTTCATAAAACAATAACAAATTAACTAAATTTAAAAAATGCAACAAACATCCATGATAAAACAATTTTCTGTTTTCGTGATCTTCTGTTCATGTGCACAGTGATTTGTTTTAACTCAAAATAAATAAATAGATTAAAAGTCAGATTTAACATACTGGTACTGCTTTCCATGTACCCATTAACCTGTTAACTTAAAAAAAAACTTTAGAGAATTGCACAAGTTAACTTCATGGAATGTGCATTCCTACACTCTCAATTAATAGGCAAAACACCATATTTCTGAAGAAAAAAAAATGCATTACTTTCTTTTTCATTAGCAGGTACATAGTGGCATTGTGATTCATTACAAGAAAAATAACTGCATACAGTAGTCACAACAAACAGAAACCATAAACATGACCTTTAAATTTAAAATTTTTTTGAATTACTGCTGAGATAGGTGGCAGCATGATGTGCTCGCATAATACACATGCAACCATTTTGGGCTGCCAGCTAAATACATGTTTGTAAAATTATGGGTTGCGGCGGCATAGGTCTTTGCCCAGTGATTCTTGTCAGAGTTGGGTAGATACGGCGATAGTATAAAATTTATTTTTTAGAATCCATGTTATGTTATTGCTTGAAGTGCACTTAACATATTTCAGATAAACTGCACCTGTTAATGTTTAGTAAATAATATTATATATTCTTCTCTTTAAAAACATTATATTTGTTAGCTTATTTTAATATCTTTAATTTTTTCCCCCTGAGATTAGGAAAAATACAAAGAAATAATATTAATATATATAATAAAATTTTTAAATATTATTTACTTTATTTATTTCTTCTATGTATGTATATGTTCATAATTACTTATCTAAGTATGTATTGCTTTCCTTCATATTTAAAGCACTAAAAAGTCAGCTCAACATCTCGTATTTGTAAGTATTAGAACTTAAGCAATCATTTATTGTTTCACAAAAACGACTGAGTACAGTGAAATCTTTCATGGTAATTCCCTTCCATAAACTTACACCTTTGAAAATGATTCATATTTCTTGGAATTTAATAAAAGAGTCATACTGAAACTCGTCTTATAAGGCAACCATTTTGGTTGAAGAAAAAAATTATATATAATTAATTTCATAGTTATGATTTTTATTTCTTTAATACATTGTAATTCAAACTTTTTAGCTTCTTCTTTTATTAAAATTAATTTTTGAAAACTATAATTTCCCTCTCATTGAAATAAATGTTCTGAATTTCATACATTTATTCAGTGTTAAAAATAAAAAGTAAAGAATTTTTTTCCCTTTTAATTTTTATGCTTAAGATATTTAGAACATTATTTTATTATAATTTGATCTAAATTATATGATGAAAGTGTTCATTTTATATTAGTGTTGTATTTCTTTTACTTATTTATTATGTGACCTTTTATGAATTTTGTGATAGCATTTTGTATTAACTTTGGCATATTAAGTGTGTATAATAGTACAAATAATTTGTGACAAAACTCTTTAAAAATGAAATTACGTTACATAGTTCAATCATGTATATGTTTATCATTATGTATTCTTTTGCAAAAAACTCACTAATTGTTAAGAAAATAATTCAGTTATGCACTAATGATTTATTTCAAACCTAACACTTAATGATTGAAAATATTGTGCTATTAAAAGATAGAAAATCCCACCTTTTTTTAATGTACCAAAAAGTTGTTTGTATGTTTTTCAAGTTCAGATTCTGTTTTTAATTTTATATTTTTTGTGTGTTATACATACTAAGTAATATACAGACTTAATATGTGGTTTATCATAAATTTTATTTATTATCTTGTTATTTTCTAATATCATTATTGTTTTTTAATAGGGTTTCTTAAATTTGTAACAAATCTTAAATTTTTGTGCATTGTGTGATAAGGTTTATATATATATTTTTAGTAGTTTCAGGTATGAAATAATAGCTTTTTAAATTTTTTTGTTTTAATGATTATTTATGTTGGTTTTAATGCATGTTTTGCATCAATCTTAATTTTTTTAATGTTTTCCAGTGGAAATATATCCAGTGATAGAGTATGTCCTTTTATTGTAATTCTGTATATTTATTTCCTTAGTTTTCCCCTGTATCTTCATTGTTTTCAAATATGTTTGATAATAAATAAGGCCTACTTTGCATATGATTAATAATTAGAAAAATTATTTTTAAATTTATATTTTTCATCCCATCTTTTTTAGTATTTCCAAGTTTCAGTTGTAAATTGTATTAACAACTTCTCATTTATTCTTCTAAATACCCAAGATAAACTGGGAACTTATAAAAGATTTTGTGCTTTAAAATTTTGTTCTTAAAAATCTCTGAAGGCCTTGGTAGTACTTAATTTATGAAAATTATTAAAGGTATTTTTTCTCCACGTTTTATTTTTTTAAGATTCAGATACCTTCTTGATACTAGAAATTTAGAATGTTCCATATTAATGATGCAAGATGTGTATTTTACGAGATCAACACCTGATGCCGGTGTTATTATTTTCACTACATACGTCTTTCATGTTCTGTCAGAATGAGAAGTGATGTCCTCCAATCCTTCCTATTCTGACAGACTATAGAGACCAATACAGACCTAAAAGATCTGTGCTTATGTCTGTGGTTAAGAAAAAATATGTTGAAATTATATCAGGTATGAATGTAGTTTCATCTTTCACTTTTTAGTTGTTATTATTGTTTCTGTTATTAGCATATTTATTATTATTATTATATTTTAGTGCAGTATTCAAAGATTAAAACAATTTTAAGAAGTACTTTACAATTTTTTTGAAGAAAATGAGAATTTAGAAGCTATAATTGTCTTCCTTCTTCATTACCTTATTATGTTATATGATTCCCTTTGAAAGTCCTTAAAAATTTTGAAAGTTACCCGTTCCCAGAGAGAGAATTTGAAAAAATATGAATTAAGAGATCTGATGCTTATGGTGCTCACTTGTAAAGAGCATGTTTTGTAATATTCAGTTTATTGGGATTTATTATTAATTGTATGAATGTTTATTTTAAATAATAAAATTAATTAATAATAATGTTTTTTTTTTCCAAAAGAATGAGATTTCAGCATGATAAATCATAGTCTAAGTTTTCTGTGTCTAAAACAGTACAAGTGCCCTGCTGATATTACTACATAAAGGACAAAAAAAGTCTCTAAAATTGGGATTCTTCATCTTTGTGAGCTTGCAATTTTGAACACAGCATACAATATATCCGTTTGCAGAAGTTAAATAAAATGAAAAGTGGAGTCAAATTAACAAAATCTAATGTTCATATATATAGAAATATAAGCAAGAAAGGTCAAAATAATATACGACTGATCAAAAGTATGAGTTGAGATTCTGAATGAAAAGGATTGAAAGGGGTGATTGTTAAGAAGTGGGGTCTGCTTATCTTGGTTGCAAGATCAGATACAATTTTTATAAATGTAAGAGTAGAAATGGATACAATGTTGATGAATGTCAGCATTGATTGATATAAGAACATTGCAATTCAGTCCTTTGTCTTTGATGGAAGTATTTTTTTATCATATCTACTGTTTTAAATTTTTTAATTCCTTTTGCTGTTGGGTGTATGACTGCCCTTTCTCAAGTAAATAAAAGACATCTATTTGTTTTAAAAATGAAATAAAAATTTATTCAAAGCATTCTTCTTCAAAAGCGTCAACATTCAAATATGTATCAGGCTGTAAATGCATTTTGTGAGGGAAGAAATCTGGTTATTTTGAGTCATTTCATTCATCAAGCCAATTTTTTATATTTTCATAAGAGCTGAATCTCTCTGCAGAAAAGGGTCTCAACATGGACTAGAACAAATATTAATCTGAAGAAGCAACATCTAGAGCGTATATAGAGTTTGGAGCAGCATATCCTGATGAAAAGTTTCCTTGACTGGTCTCATAGCATGTTGGAGAACACTCTGATGTTGGGAAATAATCTTTACATCTCTATGCATATTCTGGATGGTTTTATATCAATGTTTTGTTGAAAGTGATTAACTGTTGTTTGTAACATTCAGCATTGTTTTTCTCACTCAATTGCAACAGCTCATAAGAGACTATTACCTTTTAATCCCAGCAGATGGGCTTGTTCATTTGGGTGCACTTGGGCTTTTGTTCTTTTAGGATTCTTATAATGAATTAAAAATCCATCTCTCATAACATTTTAAAACTCCACAAAATATGCTTTTCTTTTTTGTCTTTGAAGCAGCATTTCACATATGGTTCTTTGACATACAATTTCTTTCAATTCATTTGGAATCCAATTTCTTTGTTGTTGAACCATTCCCAGTTCATGTAGACATTGAGAAATACATGGTTGGGTAACATTTGATGCAACAGTTAATTCTTAGTTTTGTTTAACAATGATCTTCAGTCAAAAATGTTGTCAATTTTCATCTCTAAATTTTTTTGGTTGTTATCCATACTCTTTGTCATGTGTATTGAAATAATTTATTTTTAGTAAAACTATTATTTACAAGTTGTATTGTATGGAGCGTGTTTGCCTTTAATTTCCAACCACCAATTTCTTCTATAGTTTTCTTTACTGTAAAATACTGAAATAAAACTTCTGCATTTAGCAAAAATCTCAATATTTTTAATGATGTAAAAATGATTGTTTACACACAAGTGTCAGATACTAATTATTAAAGCTTACTGTCAAACCTTTGAAATAAAAGCATTTCTCAGATTCAGTTAGGTGTGAGCAGTCTACTAATGACGTCTTTAAAAAAGGGTGGAATCATATTTATACGTGTAGTTAAACATAGCATTTCGGTAGCTGACCTTATTTTTCAAAAAATGAAGGATACAAAAAAATTTTCTTCATTCTTGTAGCTTAGGGTGGCTCTTAAATTATTATATATTCATTTTTCAGCTGTCACTAACATTAGCAGAATCTGGGATACAACGTACCTACATTATCCATGACAATGGTAATATATCACAGACCTCAAAATCTAGGGTCATTCAAACAAGATCCTTAACTTGCATTTGACAGGAACAGCCTGCAGAATCATCTACCAAAGCTCGTTTCAGGATCCATTCTCTCAGACTGATTTTTTTTTTTTTTTTATTTATGTGTTACATGCATGATTTACTTCCAAGATAAAATATTTTTCTCTATTCTTCATTTGACTGAATTAGCTATTGAAGGAATTTTATTATGTGCATGCCATTACTTATTTTTTCTGTCAAAATAACTAAATTGTAATAAAGACCAAACTCGTTTTCATTAAATATTTTCCCTATTTTTGCATATTTGAATGTAATACTCATGCTGCTTTTTGCTTATATATTTCTGTATTTTAAATCTGCTCCTCCCTAAAAGGTCCCATTCATTATTCTGTTTTTTTTAATTGTTTTCCATTATTCTAGTTTATAATAATTTATGTAGATATGTATTCACATTAACTTTGTATTGTACCAAATTGATCTGACTGATTATGTTTGCTGCACAATTTAAAAAGATCGAGTTGAGCATGAAAAAATTGTAATTCAGTTTATACAGTCAAAAGTCGTTAATTCGGAATGATCTATAATCCGGACATCAAAACTAAAAACTTTCTGCGCATGCGCAGTGTTGACACATGCGCATAGGCGTTTACGCGTGCGCGTAAGACCTTTTACGACTGCGCATATGAGTGTGCGCAAGTGCAGAATACGTTTTCGCGCGCGCGTTTTATGTATAATGGACATATAAGCTGAATAATTATCTATTTCAGTTAATGTTGATGATTGCGTTGTTCCTTAATTTTCGAATTGGATCCGGCTCATTATTTTTTCCAGACTGTAAGAGCAATTTTATAAAAGTAAGTTTAAACTTTCGATTATATCAAATAGAATTTCCGATATATATTTGTTAATATGTAAAGGATCAAAAGCGAAAGTATGTTTAGAAATACGAAATCTGTTTATCAATTTCCGCTGCTCGGCGGGGGGGAACGCGGCGGCGGGCGCGTAATGAATTGGAAGTGATCTGTCAGCACTATCCTTATCTTCAGGGCAATTTTTTTTTTATTTGGCTTATAATCCTTATCAAATGTAGTATTTCATATCAAGTGCTCCGTCTTTGATATGATTTAAAACAAGTTCCTCGTCATTATAATTCGCTTCGATAGCGGAAAGTGACAGAGGTTATTGAAAACGAAAAAATTTCGATTCACCAATTAGTCAGTATTCTCGACACAGCAATTATAGGACTTGAACAGCAGAACTTTGTAAACTGAACAAGAAATTATGTCTGTTTAATGGAATTAAAGAGAAAGTATTATCACATGAAAACGAAGCAAAACTTTACAACTTACATTGAAAGAAATGTTTAATAAAGTAAACAAATAAATATTAAGCTTTTTCTTTTTGCAAATTTTGATACCCTTTAGATCATAATTGTTCTTTATTTCATAAATTACGGTTTCATACTTTTAATTTTAGAATTTCTGCATGCCATCTTACGAGATTTAAACTGATGATCTATAATCCGGAAAAATCGATAATCCGGAATCGCCGAAGTCCTGACGAGTCCAGATTAACGACTTTTGACTGTATATAAATTGTATTTTTGGTGAAGTTTTTGGATAAGGTTTTCTCTGTTTGTTTATAACTACGTACAAAATGTTTGACTTGATAATGGAAAAAAAAAAAAGTGTGCTCTAGTCATGTCTTGAATTCCCCTTAGAGTACTTAAATTTTTAGTTCCGTGTTAAAATAATAAGACAAAAAAAATATTTTAGTTCTTGGTGCAGTGTGATTTTGTAGCATACAAAAATAAAATCTCTTTGATTATTCTTAACAAAAGGTGTTCTCAATTAAATTCATACTGCCAATATCTAAATTTCAAACTGAACTGTTTTAAAAAACTTTCTGGAAAGAATTGTTTTTTGATTAAATTTATGAAAACATGATTCAAAGAAATAATTGGCATCTCTTTCTTAGAAAAGCAAATTTTTGTGTAACCTTAACATTTGTGTGTAACCAAATAAATGTGAAAAACAAATAGGAAATTAAATATATTATAAATGCTGCCTTAAGTGAATGAGTCATCAGGGGGGAAAAGTAATTTATTCAGAAAGTTATATATAACAAAAGTGTAACATATTTCTAACTTTTTGAAATAAAAATAATATGCCAAAAATTGTGGTCTAGTGTTTTGGGTTAAAAATAACAGTTGTCTTGTTATGGAAGCCAAGTGATGTAACTTGAATATTTGAAAAGCATAAAATGTGTTTTTAACTAAATCCTCATTTCCAGTATCGTAATTTCATACTAAACTATTATAAGAACCATTCTGGAAATAGTTTTTATATCAAATATTTATTTCTGGCATATAGTTTGTAGCTGATATATTTCGTTGATTTCTTTTAATATCAGCACAGTGGTGCACACAGAAATTTTTCAAAGGAGGGGAGGGTCTAGGGTTAAAAGTTTACCATTCTCGTATCATACCCCAATACAAGCATACCAAAGATGTTCTTTTGATTTTATTGATTGTTGGGAACAAAAAAACAGTAAAAAAATAAATTATTGAATAAATAATTAGCATTAATTAATAAAATAAATTATTAATAACAAAAACTTAATTAAAGTACCTGGAAGCATAAGAATTTATGCATTTACTTTTCTCAAAATTCAAAAATGAGAACAGCAAATGCATCATTATAGAAGCACCAAGTCATAGAAGAAAAATCTCACTTTAGTATGTAATTACAAAACAAAAACATGATGGTTATAGTGTTTTCATTTACAGTCACCAGTCAGCTTATGTAGGTGTACAAATAGTCACAGAATAAAATCTAGTTTTTTTTTTTTTTCCCGCGATTTCATTTATAACTCCTCAGGAGTGATGGTCACGTTCCTCGAATTCAGCAGTGCAAGACTGTTTAAACGTTCATTATGCATGGTACTTCTCAAGTATGCTTTTAGCCTACTCAAAGTCGAGAAAGATCTCTCACTTGTGCAATTCTTTATAGGAAGAGTGCACAAAAATTTTAAAAGTCTTTTAACATGAGGATAAAATTTATCATTGCAGGGCAAATGATATTCAAATACTGATGGTGAGGAATCATACTTTAATGCCATTTTAATGAGTTTCAGCTGGGAAAGTAAAGCATCTCTGTGATCTAAAAATAAATGTTCGTCTTTTGAATAAAATTTGCCCAATATCAAAAAGTCATATACATTTTTTGCAATATAAGTTGGGTTCATTAAGCATGAAAATTTTCCTAAAATATTACACACTTCTGGGGGGGGAAATGAAGCACCATGAAGGAAGTGATTATTTTTGATGAAATTGAATATGTGTATAGCTCAATACACAGATAATAAAATGATTAAATAATCAAGGTCATAGTACCTGTTCACTGCTCACAATCACCCATTGAGTGTTCAAATTAGTAGTTGGTCATATCGTTGAGCTGTTAAAGATGTACAGAGGATGACTAAAGATGACCCGCTGTCGTAAGAAATAGGGCTCCACACCATCACACCAGGGGTTATTGGCTTTATGCTTTTGTAAAATAAAGACAGATTGGGACCGCTGGCCCTGTCCTCTCCAGACATGAACATGGTGGTCATTTGCTTCAAGAGTGAAGCGTGATTTATCGCTTAACACTATACAATGCCAGTCTGATGGCAACCATGATGATCGGCTGCGACATCATGCCAGACGCCGCCACTGATGTTGTAGGGTCAAAGGCAAACGTCTTAAAGGCCTCTGTGAGTGTAACCCCGCCTCAGACAAGTGCCGTGAGATGGTGGGCGGTACCACAGGAGGTATAGACATAGCTGTTGTGCATTGAATATTCGACAATGATACTGTTGAGGTGGTTCAGGCCTGGCGAACAATCATCCTATCTTGCCTCGCATTTGTGCTTCTTGGCCTTCCAGAGCCTTCATTTTGTCGACAGTTTCCTTGTAGCAACCATTGCTGCCAACATCTTTGCACAGCAATGTCTGTATGCTGCAAGTGGCGGCCTATAGCTTGGTATGATCACCCAGGTTCATGCAACCCTACAATGTGACCACATTCGAAGTCGTTTAGTTGTCTGTAAGGTCTTCGATATCGTCGTAATGGCATCTTTAGTTGCTTCTTTACAAAATTACAATGGCAGCTCTGTTACTGGTTTTATACTTTGTGAATTGCGCACTAGAAATGCGCGCTGTGATCGCAATTCCTCTTCATTTGCCTTGAAACTTTGATCATTTGCATCTTTGATCAAGATGTTTTTGCATACCAAATTTCATCATGATCGCAAAAGTCCTTCTTGGTGCTTCGATTTTTTTTGTGCAGAACAGTGTTTTTGCTTTTGTGATTGTCGTTGGAGTTTCAATTCTGCATTATTTCATTCTAAACCTTTCAATAATTTTTTAGCTTTATAATATATTTCTTTAAAAATGCAATCAACATTAATTTTAAAATCAGCTACTGAGTGTGCATAATTTAAAGCTTTCTTCAAATCAAGAGTAGTTGATCGTAACTATTCACAAAGCTTTTTACAGCAAACAACTTACTTAAACACAGCAGGGATATTAAGAAATCTGATTTTAATAATAAGGCATGAATTAAAGATGCACAAGTTGAGGCATCTCTGTCTTTCCAAAATGAAATTTCTTCAAGGGCTGCTATAACAGCACCATGAAGGAAGTGGTTGTTTTTGATGAAATTGAATAAGGCAGGAAAAAGCTCCACCAGCCGCCCAACCAATATAGTGATTAGCGTCGCTGACTGCTGTGCCGAAGAGAACGATTTCGAATTCCGGAGAAGGGATGAATGTTTGTAAATGTATAATGTTGGTGTGGCATGGCGGCACCAAAAAACATCTATGTAAAGAAGGAAAAGCTCCATAGACGTAATGAAAACCAGTTTGTCTTCTACGCCGCTAGAAAGAAGAGGGATTTGGCAACGGAACCTGTTGGCAAGAATTCCCCCTCTGGGATGTACAGGACCTCTTTTTTTTTTTTTTTTTTCTTTTTTTTTAAATATTATTATTAAGAACACAATAAATTCCCATTATCACATGGGGCTTACAGAAGTAAGTATGAAAACACAATACAAAATAACAGAAGAAAACTGAAATAAATTAAGTGATTACAAATTTTCACAATAAATCGAAAAAAAGTGTTAAAAGCACTTCTCTCGGATATACCGGACCTGGCCGAGATTTTCCTCCTCCGCGATGTGTACAGGAAGTTGAGGAACAAGGCTTAAGATATAGAAATTAGGTGACATTCCTTTCACTGGCTTAACCTGCATTATCAAACACAGTTCAATGTCTGATTTTATATCTCTCAATATGGAAGGGAAAAAAAGGGAGTTGCACAGCTTTAAACTCTTTGATAAACGTGACCGTCGAATACAAGGAGGTCTATTCTAACTTCCTTGATCGAACATGTTCGAATTTCAACATCAGCTTCGAGCTTTGGCGCTTTTTGGCGACAGATATTTCACGCATGCTTTTCATTCGAAGGAAGCCACTTCTGCTGCTGCGAAGTTTTCCTTAACATACATTTTCTTTGGTGGCACTCTAAATATGCAGCGAGCCAAAAGTCCTCTTGTGTGATTTGGTGGAAGAAGAGAGAGGGGCGGGAGACCCTTGGACCCACCCCATCCCCCGGGGGGGCTGTACATCAAAATTGGGGGCGGAACTGAGCTAAATCGCACTGTCACCTGAATGGTGCTCTAATGGCCCTATCACTTCTATGGACGCGCGTGCTTACCCAGGACAATTCCGAGAAAACGAGATTCTAGTAGCACGGCTTTTAAGCGGCAGGCTTCCGAGAAAGTTTTCGTCTAGCTAGGAGGACCTGTCCGGCTACGAGCAACATATTAAAAATTTATCTGAAAATGTTCCAGCCTGGAGATGTGTTCCAACAGTTCAACCAATCAGACGAAGGTCTGCTTCTGAAGTTTTCTTTCAATATGGCGATGGCTCTCACTGTGAGTGATGGACGGTGGAAATAGAGGCCGATTAATTATTGCTATTTTGTTGTAATACTGCTGCTTGAGTCATTTTAAATGTGTATATATTCATTAATATATAATCGTTGAAATTTCAGAGTTGACAGTATTTTTACGACGTTCTTGCCGTTTCAGATTTGTTAACAATTGTTCGTCGCCAAAATTCGCAAATTTGTCGTTTTCATGTTGATCGTGTATTATTGTTATATAATAGAATTTTATTTCTAAATTTAAGTTGAAATTTTAAAATCTGTTTGTATATGCGCTACTTTTCTCCTAATTACTTATCTTTTAAATTGTTAATGCATAATTCAGTGACACTTTTAAAGCATAAAAGATGCATAAAAAAAGAGAGAGCATACTGTAATAATGAGAAACTTATAATTTGTCTATTATTTCATGTTATTTGGAAATACTTTTTATAAACATTAAAACTTTACTTTTTTTGTAAATGCTACATATTGAAACATTGGAAATTTATGGATGTATTATTATGCATTGATGAAAACATTGTATATACATTCATTAATATATCTTATTCATTACATTAATACTATAAAAATATTATTAACAACTTCTAAACCATCGCATCTCTGTCTGTAAAAATAATTAACTTGGTAGATGTGTATATATATGTATGTATGATACAAAAATGAACATTGCTAAGAAATTTTATTTGAAGTTAATATCAGTTGAAAATAATTGATGAGTATTTGAGTCTAAAGAGTGTACACATTTTTTATTGGGTTATTCATATATATCATACTATGATCTACTAAAAACATGACTAATAATAATAAGAAATGTACAGTTGTGCATTTATAACATTTGATTACTTAAACCAGTACACAACTGATTATCACCTTCATGTCTGTTTCATAATGAATTGCTCTTCCAATTAGTGCACGGCCCTAGTGGCCGAAGCGTCTTGACACTGGTAGTTCTGTCTCACTGGTAGTTCTGCGCTGATGAGCTTTTGATGTTTCCTTGGTTTGCCATTGAGTACTGTATGAGCCATTTTTAAAATCTTCACTACAAGGGATCCTCTTGTTGTTATCCCTCGAGGCTTTGCGGTATTCACATAAAACAAACTGAGCCCACCAGCGGCCGAGCGTAAGTCGCTGAACACTGGGTAGTTCGGTCCGAGGTTCGCATCCCCGAACGGGCTGGCTGCATGGCGACTTTCGTGTTTTCCCATGTAACGTGTATCGAGCCAGTTTCCTTAGAAAGTCCTCCACGAATTCATCCCTTCCCTTAGCAGATAGCCCTAGTGTGCTTTGCTGTAATCTCATAAACCAAACCATAAAACAACTCATGAATTGAACCCTATTTCTAGAGTTGGTATAATTAATGTGTTTAGGTATATTACCGAGTGTTCTATGGGACAGTAAACAACTCGCAATGTTTGATTGTTCATGTATTCAAGCTTTATTTGATCTTATTTGGAATAGTATCTGCTGGCTTAAGGAGGTAAATATCAGCATATAGTTTTTCATTGAAGGTCTTTTTTTTTTTTTTTTTCTGTTTGTTTGAATGGACAGAACAGTATGAGCCTAAAGTTAGTCAGAAAATGCTTTCACCAGTCACAATTTTTCATTGAATGCAGACAAAGAAAATACCATAAGCGATGTGTGATAATAACTTTCCAGCACATGTTTTTAAAACTATTCTTTGTGTACCAGAATTTGTTATTACTGATGTAATTGATTGCTATAACCAAAGTGTGTTTATCTGTTACATGAGTGCCGGTGGAGGTCAAATGATTAAACTTGATAGCAATCCCTTTCTATTATCTTCCTTACTAACAATAAAGTTTAAATGAAAAGCGTGTGAGCGATCAAAACACACGAGAAGCGAATGTCACTGAAAGGAAACATCACTTTCACCAATCTGAGTGATAACTGATTCTTGTTTGGCTTTCAGCCTGTTTACCAAGTGAAGATGGTAACCCTATTTCACCAAAGGCCGTTTCTCAGAACTGTTGCTGCAAACGTTTTGTTCCGGCAACAAACAGCTAATGTGATAACGCTTTAAGGCTTCAGGCTGTTGCCAACAGCAGGCGTAATGTAGCGCTCCTTGTCACGAGGAATTTCGTGGACTTAAGCTGTCTGAGCCAAATGAGCATAAGCAACAACAACACAGCAAAGCTCCACCTAGACAAATCGTGTCTTCAAACCATCTTGTCATGCACATTCCAAACAATATTTTTGTTGTTGTTGTTGTTGTTTTTTTACTCTGGGCAATACTCTTCAATTTTAGATTCAAACAGTGTTGTCGTTTTGGTGTTTGAAAATAACATTACAAATTCTTGATACGGTTCTGGATCTCTGGTATATTGCAAGATTTAAACTGTGCGAACTGCAGTGAATGTATAAAGCAAGAGGATATTTTTCCTTTAAATAAGCATTTATGCCTTGCAATCCCCGCTCATTTAGCTCCATCGTAACCTTGTAGACTCAAAAATGATAAATTTATTCCGAATTAAGCCAAAGATTTTAAAATCGTTGATGCTATATCAATACCTGTATATCTAGTAACTGGAATATATTATTGGAATTCTTCATGAATTATATTATCATTAATAAAGTGTACGTCTAAAGGTAACTGCTGAATCCCTGCAACAACAGTCGTTTCGTCTGCAATGATGTTGAAACACTTACTTTTGTTTACATGGTTGACAGCACATTTTAATATAATTTCATTGATTGACGAAATTATTTAGTTTTGTGTTTTTCAACTGATGTAAGTATTTCTCTCACTGTCTTTCAAATGTTTTTCTAGAACATATCATCTCCAGCTTCTACAGGAAATTTAACCAGCGCTTGAAAGTTTCCTCGGTTAAGTTTAAGAGTCCATAATTCGAATGCCCGCTTTAAATAATACCTTGTTTACCGCGAAAATTGCAGTTTTAATTATAGAACATAAAATATGTCGATTTTTAGAAACTTCTTCAGCTTTTGTCTAATATTCTGTCGATACTGGCGATAGAATTTTCACTATTTTTTTCTCTTTCAAACTTGAGTAAATTTCAAGACATTGTTGGTGATATTTTAATGAATTTTGGTTTTTAAAATATAATATTCTACAGCCTGGTGTAACTTTTTGAAAGGGTCTGATACTAATTTTCCAATGCTCTGATTTTTGTGGGCAACAACTTCTTTCGTCGAAAATAGAACACAATATTTGCAGAAAGCACTAATCCATTTTTTGAGAATATGACATCCAATGCCATTTTGAAAACCACTGCATTTGAAATTTTTCTATTTTGTAAGTGCAATTGAAAAACTATAATTTTTATCGTGGTACAATATATTGCTTAAAATATCAATTACCTCAAGATTTGGTAGGGGTCCTTTAATTTTGATGTAATCCGGTATATCGAAATCGGTCACTGTAATATTTGAAACTGGAATTTGACTATTATTTTCATTATTTTCGCTGCAACTCGGATATAGTCTAAATTTTCAATTGTTCATTTTCCTGTACATCGTATCAACACCTTTCAGGGTGAGGCAAATTTGAAAATCTCTTCACTCCCATATCTTTATTTTCATCTTCACGTCGTTTTTCAAGGACAATGTGGACTTGTTTTCTTTAAGATTTGATCACTCATTTTACAGTATAATTTAAAAATCATATTTTTACAACTTAAAGTCAAAGGGATTTAGCAGCATTAAGAGTATGCACGTAATAGTCATGTCATCATGAAATTAACGTAATGAAAGATTTTTGACTTTGTTGTGCATGGTGGAGAGTCACTTTTGACTTGTTCTTAACAAAATATGGAGGAAAGGTAACCAATTCCCTCAAGATTACACTTCAGAGTACATAGGACGCAAAAATGACTAATTCAGATAAGAATAAGCAGGTGGTTGCGTGTACAGCAAAACCCTGCTACCGTGACTTCGAGAGGGCACGGCTTACCGCGGGGTTATTACTGTTCCATTAAATGCGGTAAATGAAAAGTGTTGACGGGGTTATAACATGTAAATAATGGGTTAGGTGAAGAAGTGGGTGTAAAAAATTAGTAGGGTGAGTTACTTATTACAAAATTTATTTATTATGTAAAACAATAAACAAAAATTTATTTCTTACAAATATAGAACACAATAAACGAATATACATAGAAAATAATAAAAAATTCTAAGTAGTATGTTTACATGTCAGATCATTCAGTCCGTCGTATTTCATTTCTGCCTTTTATCAAGAAAGTATCTAATGTAATTGCGTTGCCTTGGCTCCATAAGAAGTTTTGGTAAGTGGGATAAGGCATCCATAACCTCTTTGCCTTGAATCCTGTCAAATTTGGGCCATTTTCAATAAATTGGTCCATATCTGCTACATGGTCAAATGGTTTTAGAAACGCTGGTGGAAAGTTCTTTTTGTCTTTTCAGAATCATTTCTGTTCAATATTTTTGTGTTCTTCTTGGCCGTTTTTTAGCTCATCATGAAAGACTTGCTGCTGTTTCTGCACTATTTCTTCGACATCTTCCACATTACCTCATCTAAATGGTTGTTTCGCTAATCTATTATTTCATTTCATATCGACAGAGGTCCAGTGTCACCCTTGCTTGATCTGGCCAATGTTCTTCCACACCTTTCAAACAATTTTCTGTTACTTTCATTCCAAGAAAGGTTTATGTTTTCTACAGTATTCATGATATTGTAGTTTTTCCAAAACTCTATTGATTGTTTCTCTTCTCCATTTGTTTTTTCAAACATCTATCTCTAAATGTTCGCCGCAGGTAATAAGCCTTAAAATTCGACATAACGCCTTGATCTATTGGTTGGATTAAGGCAATTGTAATAGGCAGCAAAAAAACCCCTTCGACTGGAATGCATTATAAGTCAGATAAATTCGGTTGATGGCTCGGAGCATTATCAATTAAAAGTAGTGCTCTTGATTCAAGTTTTTTAATTTCGCAATAGCGTTTAACAGACGGGCAAAAATATTCAGTGAACCAATTCAGGGAAGTATTCATAGTTATCCATGATTTTTTATTAGACTCCCAAATTACAGGTAAAGTTGATTTGGAAATTTCTTTCATTGCTCTTGGTTTTTTGTAATGGTAAACAAGTAGTAGTTTTAATTTGAAATCACTGCTTGCATCACCGGCCCACCAGCGGCGGAGCGGTAAAGTCGCTGAACACTGGTAGTTCGGTCCGAGGTTTGAATCCCAAGAAGGGGCTGGCTGCATGGGTGTTTTCATGGTTTTCCCCATGTGTAACGTGTATACGAGCCAGTTTCCCTTAGAAAGTCCTCCACGAAGGCATCCCTTTTCTTAGGCAGATAGCCCTAGTGTGTTTTGATATAATTAAATACACCACACCACCACCACCGCTTGCACCACCACGCAGTAGAAGTGTTAAGCGATTTTTCGCAGCTTTAAATCCTGGCGCACGTTTTTCTTCACGGTATAGAAATGTTCGTTTTGGTATTCTTTTCGAAAATAGGCCTGTTTCATCAACATTAAAAACCAATTTTAGAGGATATTTTCCTTCTTCAATTATTGTTTTTAATGTCGCGGGGAATTCAGCAGCCGCTTTCATATCACCACTTGCTGCTTCTCCTGTAATCTGTATGTTATGAAGATTATTTTGATGTTTAAATGTATTAAACCATCCTCGACTTGCAACGCAAGTTTCACTTTTGTCACTCGTTTCAACCTGAATGTAATTAAAAATTCTTGCTTTTTCCATTATAATAGATTGCCTTAATGCCATATTACGTTCAATTTCGTCGTCAATCCATATAGAAAGTCGTTTTCCCATTTCCTCTCTTGTATTATTTGAAGAACGGGTAATTCTAGTTGCAGAGCTTGTCGTAGGGTCAATTGCTGATAACAGTATTTTTTCTTTATTCTTAACAATAGTCCTTATTGTCAGAGTTGCCAAATTCAATGCAGCACCAATTTAAGATTGATGTTCACCAGTATCTAATCTTCTAATTCCTTTCATTTTAGTTTCTAGTGAAATGATTTTTCTTGTTGCTCCATTTTCGTGTTTTTTATTATCCACCATGATAAAACCTAAAAATCATAATATTTGTCACTATATCAATCGTTATATTATAACGTATTTCTCCCACTTCCCTAGCGTGCCTTCGTGGTGTAATGGTAGCACGCTGGGCCGGTATTCCAGAGGTCTGTGGTTCGATTCCCGGCGAAGGCGGTTGCATATTTTTCATCTTTTCTCCTTCCAATTAACCTAATGACTCTAAAATATTATATAAATTTATACTTGCAATAACGTCAACAAATGTTTGAAACGATAAAAATACGTTCGTATAACACCGCAGAAAAGAAGAAATACAGATAAACTGCTTCGGATATCGGGAAACCTAACGCTGCGTGCAATTTCGGTGAATCCGACAATTATATAAAAGAGCATTAAACCAAAACAGCGTTAAGCCGGGTCTTACTGTAGTTCGGTTTTTTAAGGGGAACAAACAGAGAGGATACAATCGTACATAGGATTACAATCAATAATAAAAAAAAAAAAAAAAAAAAAAAAAAAGGGCGATAGGAGGGATGGGCTTCCCTTTCTGTGCGCCACTCAACGACTTCATATAACAGGTAGACGGCTCACCCACAGAGAATTCGTCTGCTAGGATGTCTCCAACATATACCAGCTCTTGGCGCTCTTGGGGAGTGATAGCTTAGGCTGTTTATCGCCAGTTTGGCGCGCTTCTGATATGGCTAGTAGTGCTTTTTATTTCCGTTTGCTGGCAGTCGGCAGACAACGGCCTCGAATTAGGTTATTCGATTTTTTACAATTATTTTTAGATATAACTTAACCCCTTTTTCCTGAATATTTTATCTATATTTTAATAATCGCTTTAAATTATTTGCGCCATATTTAAGATGTTTAGGTTAAATAATTTTAGGAAGAAAATCTAAAATAAATAATAAAAAATTGAGAGGAAACTTTAATTTTGAATAATGTTTAAAAATTAATTGCACTACTGTTATAATATTTGAGAGGTAAAAAAATCTCATTTATTTTTAATGCTTGCATCCTAAAGAGAAAAGAAAATCACATTGTATGTATTATGCTATCATGAAATATATACTTACAGACTGTTAACTTTCAGCTGGAAACTATAAACTATTACTATCCAAGTTATAATATAGTTTATGATACAAAAAGATAAATTATACTGAAATCTTATTACAGAAAAATATTTTACTTTCTTATATTTAAGTAAACATAATTTACTTAATTAAAGTCAGAAATAGTTTTTGGAACAATTTCATTTACCTTTGCCTTTCGGGTTACCAATAGTACTTGCATTTTGGAAATTTCGATAGTAAATAAAATGTTTAGTTTTAAAAAAATCTTTCACTGATTGTAAATGCCCGTTTTTTTTTTTTTTTTTTTTTTTTTTTTTCAGTTACTTGCATATTGAAGTGCTTATAAACTTAGCAATGTCTAGAAAATAATTTCATGCAAATTGGAAGCTACTGCCTTAACT